AGAATTACACACAGAGAAAGAAAGTATAGATGGTATTAAGTTTTCACTACCAATTTCCTCTAATAATAAAATGTTCCATTTGACATCACTAAGCACCAATACTCAGCAGGATCATTTGGGCAATTGTAAAAATCACCTCTAATGTGAAACCCCCAGTTTTTGTTAAGATAACAAATCCTATCTGTAGTCAGACAACATGACAGTCTACAGTATATTCATTTCCAATATCCCCCAGTATATAGTGGGTAATGCCAGAATAACTCCCTCTGAAAAGATACCTCTAGTCCCCCACCAAACCTCCTCTTATTAACTTTTACCATAAACAAACAAAAAGTGGGGTGTGGGGAAATGTCCAGTATTGAATATCAAGAGAACTATCTTTTCACAACGAAATACTAAATACCCTTTTGGACCTTCTATTAAAAGAAATACATCTTCTTGTAGACCTTTTAATTTCAACGGTGATATGCTACTTCCGTTTAAATGTATCTAATTTTACCGTTAAAAAAGGTGTAGAAATAGGTTAATGTGTCAAACATATTCAATATATCTTCACACGCAGGGCTAGTTGCATTAAAGGGGCACTGATCTAAAGCAATTCCCCGGGACTGGTTGTTGCCTTTGTTATTGTTTATTCCCCGTGAGTACCCGGATGATACGCAACGCAACTGAGCGTGACAAGAGACTGGGCTACCGTCTGCAAGGACAGCTAAATAAACTTGGAGGCAATATTTGTATTACCCATTTTTGAACACTGATTGGTTAACCGTGATCTATAAAGATTTCGACAAAGGGCGCATGTTAATTAATTTCTTTAGCCTTTACAAACACAAAAAGAACGGCGAAGCTCATCGGTTGTCGTCATTTGGAAATACCCCTGATTGTTATAGTTTAAAAAAAGAATCAATGCAGTGAAAGCATTTTCGGATTTCGGATTGCGTCGATAATACGATTACTACTCCCTCGTTGTCATCCACGTTTTCTGGTATAACCCTACACTTGTGTATTTGTCGTCATTCACTTGATCCTCAGTTAATGAATTTATTACAAGTATAATTAGTGGTAGCACCACTCCGAATACCTGAGGAAGCTTCCCATTTGGCATTTATTGTGTCTGGGGTAATTATTCAATCTAAATCCAGGTTTGAAGTGAAGTGAAATGTGTGTTATGTAATATGCACATGGCAGCCCAGCAAGAGATGAATGATCAGTTGATTTACTTTTTTTGTAAATCAGCGGATCGTTCGTAGTCATCACAGGATTAACAGACAATACATTGATTGATTAATCACTGTAATCTTGCACGGTGGATATGTCAAAAGTGAGTGTTTACATGTCTAGGTTCACTAAAACCAAGGGAATACACTCATATCCTTGCGTGAAGTGCCGATGTAAAAACAACATACTTCGTTCAAAGGGTTAACCGATAATACGTTGATTAATTGTTCATTCATTTGTTATCTAACTCAATGGATTTTTTAGGAACCGTGGACGTTATGAAAATAGTTATCACGTGGGCTTTCTTAGCCGACCTTTGAGACTTGACACCTAAGTTATCAGTTGAGAAACAAACACGGGTTATAATATCCCGAAACGATATATACTGAACCAAATTAAAAACTTCACAATCCTAAAATTTTAACATTTTGACCAGTTATCATTGTGGGCCCTTATTGTGTATTTAAACAGTAATGACCACGTATTGTCTTCAGATAACACCCGTTTTTGTGCAGGTGAATCGATCAAAATCATGTGCACAGCACTATAGTGGCAAAAGTGTTTTTTCACGTGCAACTGGTCACGTGGCCGCACGTGTTTTCAGCCATACTTATTAGCAGTCATTAACAAAAACAGAAAAACACATGAAAACAAAAGTCTTTACGGCCATTTGTCATGCCACGCCTTTCAAATGTGCAACGTGAACGTGCCATCGGCATGTTGCAGACGGGAACGTCCGTAGCTGAAGTCGCAAGGACGATGGGTTGTAGTCGACGGACTGTTTATGATTTACAGACGCGTCTACAGCAAACGGGTACCACCGCTGATCGCCCTCGGCCAGGTCGACCACGTGTGACGTCACATGCAGAGGAACGTCAGATTGTCTTACGTCACCTCCGTAACCGATTTTTGACGGCTACATCAACCAGAAATGAACTGTTTAGGGGTAGACTGAGTGCGCAAACTGTTCGAAACCGTCTGAGAACTGCTCACCTTCAAGCACGACGGCCATACTGCGGGCCGATTCTGACTCAATTACACAGACGTCAACGTCAATTGTGGGCACAGCGACACTTACGATGCACTCAGAGGAATTGGAATCAAGTCGTCTTCAGTGATGAATCTCGATTTAATCTTCGATTTGCTGATGGTAGGGCGAGAGTGTGGAGGCGCCGTCATGAACGTTACGCCCAGTGTTGTGTACAGGAAGTTGACAGATTTCGAGGCGGAAGTGTCATGGTGCGGGGTGCTTTCTGTGGCAATGCACGTTCCAGGCTTCTTGTCATCCGTGGCAACCTCAACGCTGCTGCTTACCGCGACCAGGTACTGGCACCAGAACTTCTGCCTTTTATGGCAGCACATGGACCCGGTTTGATCTTCCAACCAACAAAGCCAGACCCCACACAGCAATTTGGACAAGGAATTTCCTTTAGTCAACGTCATGGACTGGCCGTCAAGGTCTACCGACCTCAATCCCATCGAACACGTCTGGGATGCTCTTGGCAGAAGTCTGCGCACTCTCTAGAACCAACCACAGAATTTGCAAGATCTTTGCACCATTTTGCAGCAGCAATGGCGTCGTCTTCCCAATCATGTGTTCACAAGCATCACAAGGTCCACGAGGAGGCGTTGTGCGGCAGTTGTCAACGCACATGGTGGCCATACACGCTACTTAACTTGTGTGCCATCAGATTCTCGTGCTTGGGACTTATGATTTAAACTGTTGATGTTATTACCGAATACCGTAGGTGCTTGGAACAAATTATGGTTACCACCGTTAATTAAAATCCTTCTTTGGACATTAATGATTAAAAATTACCTTCTCTGATACATTTGTCCGTTGTATATCAAATATGGGATTACTTTTAAAAATGTGAAGTTTTTAATTTGACGCAGTATATATAATTTAAAATATTTGATGGTTACAGAGACACGTGACATCGAATACGTTTCTTTGTACAGCTGCAGACGTTTGGGATATTGTTCCTTTGTGTGGATATTCACGGATACATTCCTCGAACAAGGAAGCTGCCTAAAATTATACACATAAATTTGGTAGGTTGTAATAATGATATTCGCATTTTGTTTTCCTTCATTTGCAGTAGCATTGGACATATTCATTCTTGTTCCTTACGTCTTGGTTGGGAAATTCTTCGATGCGCGATAGACGTTGTTTTCACAAGTCTTTTCCTTTGTATATAAGTCAATTTGTAAAATATGATTCTCTCCGGCAATTTATAAAATGTGTAAATATATCAGTCATTTTGACTGAAAAATCTGTCCATTTCTTTAACAGATTGACCCAAATTGATTAAGACGATCAATAGGGCCTAAAACATCACAATAGATTATTATGTAGGATTAGAAGCCAAACATTATAGAAATGTACTTTTCATCGTAACATTATTTAGTCTCTTGGTCATGATATTAAACATAAAAATGTTTGGAATTCGTTGTCATAATAATACAGATGGACACAATTTTCAGTCATTTTGTAAAATAACTGAAAATTCAGGCGTTTAATAAATTTCCTAAGTGAAAATTTTGCACATTTTGACTGTAAAAATATAAACACGATAAAATTAGCAATACTCAGGAGAAATATTTCTTTGTGTTGCAAGTCAAAATAGTGTAAACGAAAATCGCACAATTACCAAGCAAGGGACTCATCAAAACTTCGTCACCATTACCGATGCTACACACAAAGATACCTACATTTCCTTATTATTTCCAAAACTGTATTTCATTTTGTTGATCAATGTGACCATATGCCCTTATACTATCAATAAAAGTGACAAATGCGCTTACGAATTGCGCAGCACAGGTTGCGAACTAGTCAAGGTTTCTGCTATATCATCCGGGTACTCACGGGGGAAAACAATAACATTCCCGGGGAATTGATTAAGATCAGTGCCCCTTTAAGCACAAAAAAATGAAAATTCGATGAGACTTCAATCTTCGATGTTATAAATATTATCTGCAGGAGCGGAAGCGTCAGTGGTGAACGTCTGTAGTTTGTATCAAGTGGCCAACTAACATCGCTTTGAAATCTAGTACCGAAAGAAAGGCTTGAAATAGTACCCCGACGTTACAGGTCGCCTTTCCTGCTGTCCACATAATGGTTTGTTTGGTCCACACTCCATTATTTCCATACTGCAGTGGTGGCGGTCGGGTAGCCTAGTGGTTAAAGCGTTCGCTCGTCACGCCGAAGACCCGGGTTCGATTCCCGACAAGGGTACAATGTGTGAAGCCCATTTCTGGTGTCCCCCGCCGTGATATTGCTGGAATATTGCTAAAAGCGGCGTAAAACCATACTCACTGACTCACTCACACCCATACTGCAGTGATATAGCTGGAACATTCACTTTAAGTTGATATACCTATAGTGGGAGTTGCTGCAAGTGTTTTTCCTACTTTATTTTACTTGGTAAGCGAGTATGGTCTAAGGACGGTTTTTTTAAGAATATTCCTGCAATATCACGGCGGGGGACACCAGAAGTTGTCTCCACATATTGTACGGGGAATCAAACTAAGGTCTTTGGGTTGAAGAGCGAACGCTTTAACCACAAGGCTACATTATGGACCATTATTTAACTACGCAGAACACAGGATGTAAAGTAGTAACTATTCATACATGCATATAACATTCAGATTAATAACATGTTTGGGTCCCTTCACTGCTTTTAGACATATATTTTCACTACTAATTAGTTAAGGGCGTTTTTCTGTAAACCAAGAAAATCCGCTGGCATTATCAGCTTTGTGAAAATGTAAAACAAATACAGGAGTCAAAATCCTTTTATAAAAAGCATTTCATATTCTGGAATGGTAAAATGAAAATTACACAAAAGCATGTAAAATAGCCCACTCAAATTAACATTTGATATTTCCTATGCGTGAGTCAGCAATATTGAATATTAGCTATTAGCACTAAACATGTCATGGTTGTTAATTAATTAGGATCTAAACAACCCCAATATGTTCACCCACTGTTCATGAACAATCTTCACTGTCGGATCCACAGAGAGGAAAAGAGGGGTTTTGTAATTTGTGTCATATGTGAAACTGAGTCTTTGTAAGTGTGTAATTACGGTGATATTTAACTGCTAGATTGACATCGTGTATGTACATCCGTGTATGTAAATGGCTCGAACAAGCTGGGACTACCAATTGGGTATAACTCAGTCCTCTTTAAAGACGTATTCGTATACACCAGATTTGCTGCACCCTCCAAAGAAGTAGCTTTACGAAGGTACGCTTAAAAAGTCTCTCATATGGGCGTTGACAACGTCTGGACAGTCCATCTGCACCCAATGACTGGAGTCATCCACATACTTAATGGTCAGAGAGTCGGTGTATTTCCCTGCCAGTGGGGCAAGTCCTTTTTCCAACGCCCCGTCCTGGCACCCCCAGATCAGAAGGGTAGGGGCAGTTATCTTCTTCTGGCGTGGTGGCACGGTGCGTGTAACTGCCCGGATGTAGTTGACGGGGCCGGTAAAGCTGCCTGGAAGTGACAAGCGCGTGTGCATGTATATTATTTATTAATTATTAATAAACGAATGATTTTTATTCCTTTTTATTAGGCAACATGGTGAAAGTGTGGTATGATCGAGCGCAATGGGATTAACGCCTCTGGGATCAATCTCATTAAAATCATATCTTTCACTCCAATATCATACCCCTCTTTGTAAAGATCAGCGAAGTCGTCCCAAGAAGGTCGCGTTAGGTGAACTATCTAATCCGACCATCAGCGTAAAGGTTCCATCGTTCTCGGTACGTGTGAGCGAAGCATTCAGACCAGACTTATCTCAAGGTCAAAACATAAAGCTGCGTCATTTTAATGCTGTGGATATGCTATACACCCTGTCGTTTTTCGGCGACATAGAATCTACACCCAAAAGGGAAGTAGGATCAAAGGGAAATTAGTGTTCTGTTTGGATTTTCATTTGTACAAATCGAAACTTCTGAATGGAGTAGAATCGTTTTAAAAGGCAGACATCTGAACCCATGCATTGTTCCTTGCGCGGTCAAAATTCTGATGGTTCACCTGACTCGACCTTCTGAGGGCGTGTCCTCAGAGAGGTATAGTATCAGAGTAAAGATCTGACTTAGATGAGATTGAGTTGGGTTTCATTTCTTTGAATGTAAAACTGCCTCTTACCTAATGTTGGGAAGGCAAACTTATAAGCCTCTATTTCATCCGGTGAGAACTTCGTACAGCGAACCCCCATGATGCTGCCCGTGAGAGCAACTTCCAACATCTTCCTGTCCCGGATACAGAAGTACAGCTCCGGCAACAGGGGAACGTAGAAGAAGAACATGTACCTACGAGTGAAGACGAACGTGTACAGACTGGAGGGGCATGTTCCTTGAAATTTTGAAATTTTACCCAAAACTGTGACTAAAAAATCAAATTATTTTTAACCAATATTATTACATGCATCAGACGTACCAAGACTTCCTGAACTGGGCCATGTGTGTTGCGACGTATTTCGTGAAGGACAGAGGGTGCGGGCAGTTCATGATGATCAGCTTGTCCACCAGCTCAGGGTAGATTCCGGCCACTGTCCACGCTGCAGCGCCGCCCCAGTCATGGCCCACCAGCACACACGACTTGTAGCCTGTAATCACAAATCAACATGAAACATCATGGTCCACCAACATACAGGACTTGTAGCCTGCAATCATATATCAACATACAAGTTCGTGGCCCACCAACACACACGACTTGTAGCCTGCAATCATACATCAACATACAAGACCATGGCCCGACAACACACACACACGACTTGTAGCCTGTAATCACACATCAACATGCAACAACATGGTCCACCAACACACACGACTTGTAGCCTGTAATCACACATCAACATACAAGGCCATGGCCCGACAACACACACACACGACTTGTAGCCTGTAATCACACATCAACATGCAACAACATGGCCCACCAACACACACGACTTGTAGCCTGCAATCATATATCAACATACAAGTTCGTGGCCCACCAACACACACGACTTGTAGCCTGCAATCATACATCAACATGCAAGACCATGGCCCGACAACACACACACACGACTTGTAGCCTGTAATCACACATCAACATGCAACAACATGGCCCACCAACACACACGACTTGTAGCCTGCAATCATATATCAACATACAAGTTCGTGGCCCACCAACACACACGACTTGTAGCCTGCAATCATATATCAACATACAAGACCATGGCCCACGAACACACACACACGACTTGTAGCCTGAAGTCTCATATCAACATGGAGGTCACACACTTCATACAAGATCCTGATGACCAGTTTCTGTCTCTCAAGAGTGAAAGAAACATATAGTCCGCTTGATCGGCTGTGCATGTACTCCACTTTCATACACAGACCATCGTTAATACTTCACAGGTTATGTATACACTACTTCCATCCATCACCCTGAAATCATTGAGCCGATATCCGGTGTAGTCGGTATTTTGATGGGGGATAAATACAAAACCTGTGAATTAACGATGGAAACAGACAAGTCAAGTAAGGTTTAAACGAGTGAGCGAGTGTACTGGGCTTAAGGGCTTTCAAAAGTACTTCAGTTGTATCACAGGATATCAGTTTACTGTGTCAGCTGATCAACCCACGATTGTCAAGCGTCTGGCACGTCCAAGGAGAACTCTGCAGAGTGCAATGCGGCGCCTCAGACGACTGAGCCACCCATGTCCTCCTTTCAAAGATCTGACAATCGTGCAGGTCTACTATTTTCAGCAATGGCTTGGATACAATTTACGAACCTACCTAAAGCTGGTATGAGCTGTTTGATGTCATTGGCTAATTCACCAACGTTGTAGCTGTTGACACCAGAGGGCGCGTCCGACTCCGAATACCCCCGTTGGTCGATGGCAACCACTCTGGGGAGAAAGTACAGTTTAGCGAGAGAGAGCGAGAGAGAGAGCGAGAGAGAGAGAGAGAGGGAAAAAAAGTTCCGAGCATCATTTAATGTTTAGTTGAGCTGTGATTTGCTACCATCACGATATAGTTGGCAGTACAAACTATCCATAAACATACAGTTATCAGTATCTTGGATATTAACTTGGTGAGTCACGGAGTGAGTTGGGTTGCGATTTAAGACCACTGGAACATGGTTTCAGGTATACCACGGTGTGTCAGAAAATGAACACTGGTTTGGTGCTGATAAACTACTATGGAATTCGAACCAACGACGTGCGGATCCTGACACCTGAGGAAAGGAACTTATCAGGAGTTGCTGAGCCTTTAAGTGTTTCATTCAGAGACTTTCAAGAAAGGTAAACAAAGGAACTATTGTTGAACCAATATAATAGGATTCATTGAAGAATGGTCGGTTGGTTGGTTTGTTGTTTAACGCCGCACTCAGCAATATTCCAGCTATATGACGGCGGTCTGTTAATAATCGAGTCTGGACCAGACAATCCAGTGATTAATATCATGGCATCGATCCACGCAATTGGAATCGATGACATGCTGATGCAGCAACCAAGTCAGCGAGCCTGACCACCCGATCCCGTTAGTCGCCTTTTACGACAAGCAGAGTCACCTTTTACGGCAAGCATGGGTTGCTGAAAACCTATTCTACCCCGGATTCTCACGGGTCTCATTGAAGAATGCTTGAAGCGGATGTGTTCCTTTTGTAGTCAGGGGAGCCCACCTGTAGTCTTTCTTGAACTCTCTAATCTGATAACGCCACGAAAACCAGAACTCAGGAAAGCCATGTACCATCAACATCAGCGGCTTATCCTCGTCCCCGGCAGCGACATAGTGGAGGCGGACGTGCTGTTAGGGGAGATAACTCTTTGTTTATGGGTCATACGTTTATCCAGCTGTAAGTGGCAACATAAGTATGTTGACGTGCTGTAATCAATGAAAGAGATGGTTTATGATGTCATACAAAGTTGTTATGTTTTTTTTAGAATTGTCGTAAATCAACTTTGCAAATACAACTGTATTATTAATGAAGTGTCTTAATGAAGGAAGCGAGCAGTAATACTGCTATTTCGCTGAAAACTGTAAATGTCTGGACAAGTCAAACTCGTTGTTCGTAAAACGAACAGCGAGCCACGCCGTCGGCGTACACGATAACACCATCAGCCTGGTCATATGTTTCAACCATCTGATCCAATTATAGTTGTCACTTAAGAAGAGCATGAAGACCTATCCTGCTCTAGTGAGTGAGTGAGGTTTTAATGCCGCATTGAACAGATTTCCAGTTATATCACGGCGTGTCAGCCTACAGTGGGAGGAGGGAGTGAGTGAGTCGAATCCCAATTGCATGGGCCCGTGAAGACGCCGGGGTAGAATAGGTCTTCAGCAACCCATACTTGCCGTAAAAGGTGACTATGCTTGTCGTAAAAGGCGACTAACGGGATCGGGTGGTCAGGCTCGCTGACTTGGTTGCTGCATGTCATCGATCCCAATTGCGTGGATTGATGCTCATGATATTAATCACTGGATTGTCTGGTCCAGACTCGATTATTTACAGACCGCCGTCATATAGCTGGAATATTGCTGAGTACAGCGTTAAACAACAAACAAACAAAAACGTTTAATATATTTTCTGTCACGTAAAAGAGAATTGTTGAATTTCCCAGAACCTGTTCCCTTCACCAAACTAGAAAACGTTTTAAAAGGACAAGAAATGAGAGAATGATCAGAATTAATGATTGGTGGAATATCGCAAGTAGTGACTGATATAATCTGTCACACAGACCCTGATACAAATATATCCAATATGCCCATGCAAATATATAATGTTTGGCAAGTCTAGATTACTGCAGTATGAAGAGAGACTCCGGGTGCCTTTTTATTGTATTCTTTTTAAGATAATTTAAAAACTTTATTCTGTAGGATATGTTCATTACAGAGACTGGATGTAAGTCTAGGACTGATATTAAACAATGTGAAATCAGAAAAAGGTCAAGTCGGTCTTGCTTTGTATAGCTGTAGGCTGACGCTATGTGTACTGTTTTATAACATATAATAATTTCGGTCTTTCAAATCCAATAAGTCTACCGTTAACATGACGTTTCATTGCTACATCAAGTTTAAACATCCCGCCACAACCTCTTACCTCAAGATGCACGTAGTTGTGCGTGCCCAAAGCTGGGTCACGCAGACAGTCCGGCATGTCGCGCCTCTTCCATGAAATCCTCCCACGAGATTTCACGATAACAATAACCATACGTATCAGCACGAAAAGTGACAGGAAGCATCCTATCGAACAGGCAATGGCAGTCGTGACACACTCCCTCAGCCCCATGTTTTTTCGCTGTGGTAGACTCAGGCCCCTCGTAGCCAACCTCTCAGTTGTAACTGTAACCGGGACAGGATTTCACGCCGAAATCGGATTACATTGTCAGTTATCACTTCAAGGAGCTCTGTTATCATACATGACGTTGTCAGGCGCATGTCAGGCGGACATGTGGTCAAAGGTCAAGGATATTGTATACACGCTTCTCTCTGTTGGAACAGAGACGATCTGTTCAAACATGTCAAGGCGGTTTTCATACACACATCGATTAATACCTTTGTAGTTATAACAGTTATTTCTGAGATGGAAACCGGTGTTTCTATGAAAACATGTTGCGAGGGAGTTAACAAGCAATTATCATTTACGGATCAGAGACATACTCTGGACTGATACAACCTAAAATAGTACAATGTTGCAGAGACCATATAAAAGATCTATTATATGGTCTCTGAATGTTGCCATTGATTGTCAGAATGCGGACCTCGGAGAAGACAATGCACATGCGGCAGTCAATCCGCAAAGATTTTAGGTATGCTTTGAACAGTCGCGCGGCACAGCGTTGCGGCGGAAGTTTTGTTTTGTTTGTTTGTTGTTTAACGCCGCACTCAGCAATATTCCAGCCATATGACGGCGGTCTGTAAATAATCGAGTCTGGTCAAGACAATCTAGGGATAGACATCATGAGCATCGATCCACGCAATTGGGATACGATGACATGCATCAACCTTTAAAGTCAGCGAGCCTGACCACCCGCGATCCCATTTGTCGCCTCTTACGACAAGCATCGTTGCCTCTTATGGCAATCCTTGCAAACACGAGTGTGCTTTTCTGAATCTGACAGTCGTAGGCAATGCCTCAGCCACACATACGACACTTATCATCATGTTTAGAAGACTATGACGACAAGCATTGGTTCCATGTGACTCTTTCTAAACGAGAATCCCAACAAGGGACACGGCTAAATTAGATCACATACCTATCAATGATATGGCAATATGAGGCATTCTGCATGTGCGGTAGAGCCAACATAGATACCAGACCCGTATTACATATATGACGTATGACGTGTGCATTTGGAATTGGCGGTCGATAGCCTGGGTGCTAAGGAATTGGAGTTACGTCCCTTAGTGCGTCATCTGCTCGGATAGCTCACATTTGGGAATGTCTTCCAATCAAGCTGAAAATGTATTGCATTCACTTGCAAGTAGATACTTTTTACAATTTTACATTGTTTGCTTGTTTGCTTGTTGACCAACGGGATCAGTGGTCAGGCTCGCTTGTAAATAATTGAGTCTGGACCAGACAATCCAGTGATTGACATCATGAACATCGATCCACACTATTGGGATCGACGACATGCATCAACAATATCAGCAAGCCTGACCACCCGATCCTGTTAGTCGCCTTTTACGACAAGCATAGTCACTTCACACACTGTACCCATATGAGGAATCAAACCTGCGACTCAGTATAACAAGCAAGTGATTTACCCACTAGGGTGTCCCAAGGCCACCTTCATAAATAACAAAAAACAGTTTTCAGCATGTTTGATTTTTATTTTTCTTCAATGCAACAAAACAATATTATGTTACTTGTACAATCATTAGTTGTCTTGTATGGCCACTCAAGAAGCCTAACTGAACAGCTGTAGACACAATGGGACAAGTGTAGACGAAGTAGAACAATATGCACACCAGATACAACATTATGTGAAGAATGACAAACTGACCTACCAGACAGTCCCTATAACTATACAGCTGACCTTACCATGCACTGACACTATCACCTTGGGGTCACTGAAACATCAGAAATATTCAGATCTAATATTTATCAAGGTCCCTCTTAAAAATGTCACTGGCTACAAGCTCAGTTAGTGAACGTTAAATCCCTTTGTATACTATGGGAATTATGGGAATAAAAATGTCTTTAATCAGAATTTTATGACATGGTTTGAATTTCTTCCAATGTTATTTTATGCTGTAATAGTAAAAATGATGATGCATATTAAAGGCTAATGACAAATTTGTAAGATCTGGAAACTTTAATATAGTGATATTTAACTTTTTTGAAGACATGTTTACATATGACTGACTACTAGCCTTTTCTAGTCCAGTTGTGAACTTCTTATGTGATCATTAGCAGAGACGTATGACTAAAAGATGCAGATTTTACATAATTCTGGAGACAATAAGGCCTACCGTAAGTTAATCTTTTCATCTAATTTGTTACCTACATCTTAGCTCAGAGACTTGCTCATGTATATTTTATGTGTATGAATATAACATACTTGTCATGTAAACCTAAAATAGGAGTGTTTTGACACATTATATTATTATTGTTTCCATTCCAAAACATTCCATTGTTGAATATGCAACAATTTCCAAAAAATTCCCTTATTTTCTTAAATGATCAGTTAAGTCTTCTTTTGACTCTTATAATACATCCTTTGTGATATAAAACATATCTCTTAGGTGTAACAGATAACAAATTGTGTTTATGAAACTGGACTATTCCTCAGTATAACTGACATTGTTGGCTTATCACAGATAACAAAAGATACATGTTGGCCATTTCAGATTTGGTCTTAACAAACGAAGACAGAATGTAGTGAAACACAAAGCTGATAAAAACGTACAAACCCTACAAAAACAAAATAAAGCATCTGTTGGTACTTTGATTGTTCTAAGATTCAATATAGACCTTAAAATCAGAGGTATTGACTGCAAAATTATATACATCAGTGCTGAGGCATTATCTAGGGGTATAAATCCTGATAACATTTAATGAAGTATTTGAGTTGATTCTGACTCTTCATAGATCTACTAGATAGCACCAACAAATGTAAAATCTGTATTCTGCGAGGATCCATTAGAAATTAGCAATCACCATCAGCTACTGCTCAGACTTTCAGAACAAACATATAACAAGACAAACATAAAAAATTAAATTAGAACAGAAAGTTGCTAAGGCATTCCCAACAAATATCCTGTTACAATATAAAATTATCACATAAGCACATACTGAAGTCATTATTAAAGTTTGCCGACTTTATTTCACTTTATGTAAGACGAACTTGCAAAGGTTGGAAAAGCCATAGGTATATAAATTCATCAAAGTTACATGATGTGTCCTTGAAAAGCAAATTTGCCATGTGATGCCATGTATTGTTGATTGGTAAAGTTCTAAACACATAAAGCTTGACTGTGATGTACCTAGTCTAATTATGATAGTAGCCCAATTTGGACAGTGCCCAGCATGACTGCAAGACCTTTGACAAACTCAGGGAATGGTGTAAGTCTATTAACAAGGATCTCATTCAAATTCCATGGGTTCTGTTCCTGTCCAAAGAAGGGATAACAATTAACCAGACTTCTGAAACTAAACAAAATTAAACAACATAAAAACATCATAGATTGAAATCTATGTAAGGAATCCATTGATGGCACTGTTTACACTTACAAAGGTTAATCTTTGGCTATGCTGTGAAATCCCATTAACCTGGGTGGTACTGTTAGCAGTGAGATTAACAATTTTCTAAGTTAACAAAATCACCAGAACGAAGAAATATCCTTTGTATTCTGTCCTCTTAATGTAATCACCCAAAAGGATGGGTATCCATACAAACAGATTCATGAATGACCATATTTCATTGTATTTACTATCCAATCCCTAATAAAACAGAAATAATGAAAAAGCATTTGAAGTACAAAGAATGTCTATTGTAAAGCATATTCAAACTTCAATTAAAACTCTGCAGTTTTTATATCAAAGATGTGTATATCCAAGGATCAATATGTCAGAACCCAATGAAATTAGTTAAACAATGAGTTGTTCTCAGCCTATGAAGTCATAGGCTGTGGCGCCATGTCGGGGCACTGGGTCCAGGGCGTACATCGTTGGAGGTGTCTAACACACTGCTGCTGCTGCAGCACTATCGTCTCACTGGTCAACACACACAAGCTCCTTGTGTTGACCGTTCTCTGTCCAACAGGGAACACACATTGGGATTACCATTGCACATACTCATAATATGCAACACATCCTGTCACTGAACACACTTTATCCAATCACGGCCATTGTTTCATCAGCCAATCAGATTTGGATTTCACTATCCAATGAAAGTGTCTGGAGAAAGGTTAGAGAATGATAACACTGCAATATCAGTTTCTCCACTAAATACCCGCTGATCACAGAGTATTATGACCTCAATGTAATGAAATCAACAACATCCAAACGTCAGTCACTTCTCCACAATGGGCTAGTCTTGTCATTCAAAATATCAAACATAACAAAAGACATTCTATTTTTGTGTAGATGTAGAACTGACTGTGACAATGGTGAAATGGGAATCACAATTATCTACAATATGCAACAATTGTCCAACTTGTCTATCATGGTATTTGGCAGCTGTCGAGCAACTGTTGTCACCATACTGATTGACCAATCAGAACAGAGCAGGACAAGCCCCGCCCATTGAGCACTTCTCACATGTTTCAAACATCAGATCTCAACACTGAGTGTTATCTTCGGCTGATTCTTCTTATTGTGGGTTTCTGAGACTTGTCTCTGCGATGCTTTCCACATGTACGACAACACTTGGCACGTACGTATGCCTTGTCACAGTGCTTCAGCTTCTTTAACATTTTGCACACTCGATAGCTCATTTCATTAGATTCACAGGTAATGGAATAGGCTGGAACGGAATAAAAAATCATAAATAATAATTTTATTTCATATTACATATCTATTTAATTATTCACAAATTTCCAGCCGGCGGTAGTTTTGTTTAACGCCACACTCGGCAATATTTCAGCTAAGTAAGAATACGATATGTGGATGAACAACTTCTTTATTACAATTAGGAGCGACATGTCGGTGTAGGTCCTAACACCGTTATCAAGCAAGTGAAAATATTTCAGCTGTATTATTGTGACCTGCAAATGATCATTTGATGATATGCAGTCATACGATGGTGCATTAAGTTGCCTCTTACAACTAGCCCAGTGTGCTGGGAACTATTCTAACCCCATGGGGGCATTTGCAGGAAAACATTATGTGTATCATTCTTAATTATATATTCTAAAACAACAACCTCTGAGGAGTGAACAACGGGACATCTACTGAGGCAAGTGTGACAAATACATAAAACCTGAGTGGAGGGAGGAGGGGGAGGGGGTCCCAAGGAAAGGGGGAGGGTCATGGTATAGTGGGAGGGGCAAAGCAGGATGATGGGAGAGTGCAAAAAAGGGAATGGGTAGACAATGCATATGAGGGATGGCTGATGAGGGGATGGAATGGAAGACCAGGGGGGAGGATGAGAGATGAGGGTAAGGCAGTGTTTTACATGACGGACAAATGTACATCCAGTACGCACAAATGGAGAGAAGGGACGCAGAAAAACATATACTGCTTGCCCAGGGACGCACATTCATATACAATTTAAGTGCATCAAGAGCAGTTGTGGGTTTCTGTTATTTCACCTATCAATCATGACTACTGTCCACATGATCATTAAAGTAAAGTAATTATCAAAATGTACAGTACACAACATTTCATTACTTTACAGGAACCTCATATTGCCTGCAAGGACCCATAAAATTTATCATTGAGGATCCTTTGGACCCCCACTTTTGTAAGTCTAGGCAAAACCTTGGTAAGGGGTGGAGGGTGTGAGGTGAGGGAAGGAAAGGAGGATGAGGGGGAGGGAAGGACTTGAGGAAGAGAGATGTGGGGTTGGGGGAGTGCTTTGGAAAGGGTGGAGGGTGATAGATGAGGGGAGGGGGAGAGATGAGGGACCGGGGTGGAGTCACACAATATGTATGTTCTTCCTCATGGCAACAGAACTTATCTCTTCCACTGCTCAAAAATATACAAAAGTCTTAGAAGAAGTATAGAGCTTTCATACCAGCATTCTCCACCGGGCAGGAGTCTGTGTTGCAGGATTCCTGTTGTTTGGGTTTGAGACTAGCATCACATCCATTTGCAGACTGCTGGGATGTGAGGTTGACGCACTGCACCAAGCGCACCTGCTGCCCACCCCCACACGTCTGCGAACACTGCAACAACAAGCACACCATCTGTACTTCATGTATCTCTGTGCTTAGTTGGTTTGTTTGTTGTTTAACACCGCACTCAGCAATATTCCAGCTATATGATAAATAATCAAGTCTGGACCAGACAATCCAGTGATTAATATCATGAGCATCGATCCACGTAATTGGGATCAATGACATGCATCAACCAAGTCAGCAAGCCTGACCACCTGATCCCGTTAGTCGCCTTTTATGACAAGCATAGTCGCCTTTTACGGCAAACATTGGTTGCTGAAGACTTCTGTGCTTAGTGATGACACAGATCATGATGGTGACATCACCATAACACAAGCTATGGTGATGAAGGGGTCCAGAGAATTAATCGTTATATATATATCGCCATCATGCTGTGATGTCTTGCAGTGGCTGGAATTAAACGTCCTTATAGGTTGCTCCCATAGTATTTGAATCTAGGGAACCCTCAATCTTTAACTTTCAGAATTATTGCAATGACAAGAACCCTGGATGTCCATGTATAATTTCAAACACTGACTGCATTTATCAAATTTCCAAGTCTCCAAAACCTTACCACCCACTTTTAATTACCTCAAACAACAAGAGATCAATGCTTGGGACTAAATCTGAATCCAACCCATGATACACCAAATTGATTACTCATAACATGGACATGTCATTATTGTGAAATATCCCTGTCAAAGTTTAACAATATATTATCAATAATATTATATAATTGTGATGTATTATAAAAAGAGTTGTATTTTTTTCTAAAATTGAATGTATGGGTCAATGAAATAAGTTCAAATGATTGTCATATTGTGTTTTGTGGCATCTTCATAGTGATACATCTGCAAGCCAAACAAATCAAGTCTTGATTCGTGGTCACCATGTTGTAAATGACTTGCTAATTGTAAGCTGCATCACTCACCTGACTCCAGTCTCCATTGACCCAGGAGATACAGGCCTGTAGTTTACACTCCCGAGTTTTGGGAGGTTTCTCTCGCGGATCACACTTGTTGGGCGTCTGACAATACACATGTCGGCTCTGGATAGCATAGCCACAAGTTGCTGAACACTGTTACAAGAAATAAATGCACAATAAGGATAAGTCATGGGGATATGTTTTATAAAGTAAATTCATAAGAACAGCACTCATAGAGAATAGCATCTTTGACTCCTTTCTTATTCTTTCAAGATTTATGGTGAACTGGTGCTTAATTTGTCTGAAGAAAGTCCAGTAGGATTTTCAAGATGTTTGGTTGTGTTCATTTTTTGTAATCAAATTCAAAATTCTACCTCACACTTTTTATGCTCTTAACATAAGCAATGGTGAAATAAGCCTTAAAATAGCATCACTCTACATGTATCCTGTTCTGTCTTGACATATGATTGTCATGTAAACAGCTACAAGTCAATATGTCAACAAGACATATAGTCAATATCATCATGCTTATTAATTTTCAGTTAATAAAAAATTCATATGATCACAGTTGCTTTTGTTCTTAATCATAAGTTTTCCTTCTATAGTCTCCAGTGACCTCACAATAAAGAAACCATAGCATATACATTGTGGACACTAACACTGGTCTGCCTGGCCGAGTCTAGTACCAGAAAATAAATCCGGTCAGGTGGTCTAGTGTTATTTTGGGCAAAGACAAATTAGTCTAAGTTCGTATGACTTTCGAAATCAGAGATAGATCGACTAAACAACCCAGTGTGGTACAGTGGATTACTTTCTTGACTGGTTCCTCATTCCAATCACACATGCCCACTTGTATGAACATGATCAAGTATCTGTGATTTGAAACCTTTCTTGGTCAGCAGAATTGTGTCTTTAGAGATCCAACAGGACCAGGAGACTTTTCTATGCCCTTATCCTTTGGACCACTGACAAATTTGGGTCAGTGTTAAACACTGTGAGTGAGTGAGTTTGGTTTAATGCCGCTTTTAACAGTAGTCCAGTTATATCACGGCGTGTCAGCTTAATGTGGCAGGAAAGCCCGAAGTGATGCAGGTCTCAGACGTTTACCACTTCGGTGAAACCCACGAGCACGGGTATGGTGCTGACAAACCTAGAAACATAATCGTGGCGAACCGGGATTCGAACCCACAATCATAGGTTTCTGGCATGCCCAAGGGATGCAACTCTCCACAGCGGCGCCTTCAAACACTGTGACATGGGAAGAATATTGTTACTTCCTACCTGATTCCAGTGAGTTGTTTGCCACCGGAGACATGGCATACGATGACAGTCTTCTTTGACTGTGGGTTTCAGGGTTATATCGCAATAGGCTTCTGGTATTTCTCGGCCTGTTTTAACCTCCACACAGTACACCTTCCTCATCTTGGTGCCGCCTCCACAGTGACGGGAACACTGCAAGACAGGGTAGATAGACTTTACAAGTATGTACATAGCAAGCGTGTGAGTAAGTGAATTGGGTTTAAGTTATATCACAGCATATTGGCCTGATGTGGGAGGAAAAAACAAAGTGATGCAAGTGTTTGACATTTACCACTTTGGTGAAAACCATGAGCACAGGTCTGGTGCTGACAAACCTAAAAATATAATCAGGTCACATTGGGATTCAAACCTGTGAAAGGTTTCAGGTAAACCATGTGCTACTCGTCTAATAGTGAGATGACTGGGCAACCAGTGCCCCTTACAGAGTTGAAGTGCTCCTAGATTCAGTATAGTGCTGGGAAAGCTAGGGAGTTAAATAATGCAGTTGATACTGATTGTTAAAAACTATATTTGGGGTTTATTTTATTAGATATCAACATTCATAGAGAACCTTGCCTGAGTAAATTTGATATATATCATATCAACATGAGTCAAGGAGTTTCAAACTTTTATCGATGAGTATCACAGTCCAAAACACATTAAGATTGCTCATTGATGCTGAGGAGAAGGTAGCCAAGTGGTAAAAGTGTTCACTTGGCAAATCTGAGGTCTAGGTTCGATTTCCCACATGGGTTCAACGTGTCATGCCTTTTTCTGGTATCTGCACCATGTTCTTGCTGGAATATTGTCAAAAGCAATGTAAAACCTCAGTCACTCACTCACTCACTCACTCTCACCCGTGAAGATCTGGGGTAGAATAGGTCTTCAGCAACCCATACTTGTAAAAGGCGATTATGCTAGTCATAAGAGGCAACTAGCGGGATAGGGTGGTCAGGCTCGCTGACTTGGTTGATGCATGTCATTGTATCCTAATTGCGTAGATTGATGCTCATGACACAACAAACAAACAAAACTCACTCACTCACCTTACACCACTCACTCACTGCCCAATCTTGCACCACCCACTGACCCACCTTGCACTTCTCACTGCCCCACCTTGCACCACTCACTCACTGACCCACCTTGCACCACTCACTCACTGACCCACCTTGCTCCACTCTCTGGTCTGCCACCAGTACATCACGGTCTTGTCTTTCTGTTTTGTCCCCTGCTCCTCTGGCTTGTCACTGGGAGTTGCTGTTACAGAGCTATCTCCCCCTATTGTGCTCAATTCAAAATGGATTGGAGTGTTGCTTGTCTTTTTTGTGAACAGCTTATGAGTTGGTGAGAGAGTATTATCTTTGCTAGCTTTTCCAACTAAGACATTATTCTCAGACTGTTTGTTATTTATGACGATATCTTTATTTTTATGATGCTTCCGATGATTGTGATTATGGCGATGTTTATGAGGTATGTCCATGTTGCTTTCAGGAATCAGTATAGTATTATCTTTCCCGCTTAAATCAATACTAGACTCTCCCAGTTTTATTTCACCAGATTCTGTTTTTATTTCCCCACCTATGCCAGTGTTGCTGCTTCCTAAAGATATTTTATTGGTTGACATCTTTAAGTTGGTTACTTCTGATGACTGGTTGCCACTTGATACAGTTGGTTGAGTATCTAGTATCGTAGATTTGAAATCATAATCAGTTGTTGGGGCAACAGTATTGACATCTGATGTTGTTTCATCTGTGTTCATATCAATTGTGGCAATTTTATTGTCGAATGTTGTATCTGTATCTGGTTCCTGTGTTGTTGTTTCAGGCAATGGACATTTCTGAACGAGACAAATTTTCTCCGAAATGGGTTCAAGGTCCGGGTCACATTTATCGCCACCCTGGCACTTGACGTTACGGTACTGAACACCTTCGTCACATGTCTGGGTACACTGAAATGCAGAATTTATAAAAGATATTGTTATAGCATAAAAGACACACTATTATTCTAGTGAAACAATGTTTGTAGACAAGTCTTGAAAATGTGTACCCGTATTGTGCCTAAAACAATTAACAATAGTACAACACATTTGTTGTCAACTGGTACTATTTGATGCAACTACCTTGGCAAAATCAAGATTTTGCCTAACCTGGATAGAGGCAAACAATACTGGTTTACACAGAAGCACACCTCCCATCATAGTAGAATACAGTGCCAACAAATTCGTAAAAGACACTATTGATAAAACTATGTATCTATAAGGACTGGGAGAAGTCTAAATTTAGCAGCTGGGTAACCGACCCCCTATTACCTGACCCTAATCGCGTACGTGCTGTAGGTCTCAAGAGTTGGGTACAAAATGTCAATTTGGTAAATTGTTTTACCAGAGCCTGGCAAAACTATTTAGATACATGTATGGAATGATCTGATCATGCATACACTGAAGTTGCCTGATGTTTATCTTTACTCAAACATAAAAGTCAGAAGGGATGCGTACATTGTCAGAAAGAAAACATTAGTGACTTCTAGAATAACCATTGCATTTTATTGCAATGGTCATTAAACAATAGATCACATTACTAACCACGGGTCTAGGTGGTCCCGTGGGTACCCAGGTCCCACTCAGGACCTATCCCAACTGGGTATCCGAGTTACCAGTCCATGCCCCAGTATTTATTTCTAATTCTTGACAATTGTTTGTGAATCTAAAAATCCACTGTATGCAAAAGCACAAATTATTTTTCCATTTATTCAAGCAAATCCCACTCTGCAGATGGGTTGTATTGAAATGAACTCACAGCTGACCAATCTTCCACCTCCCACTTGCCGCACGTGAACTTGCTGCATGACCTCTCCGACTGTGGTTTCGAGTCGGGGTCACACTTGATGTCCTGCTCCCCTCCACTGCACCACACCCGGCGGGTCTGGGTGGCGCACGGGTTGCTGGTACACTGTAACACACAAATGGCTATCATAGTTATTGTGTACCTGAGAGACATCATATAGGAGTAAACAATCTGATTTGAATGAGATAGACTAGCAGTTTCGCTGACTACCTTTCCCAACTCACCTTGGACCACTCTGAATGCAGCCAGTCTACGTCGCCTGGGCAAGGGTCCTTGTGTCGACAGGGCTCAACTTCTGTGGGTTTGTTCAAACTTTTACACGGCTCATCCTCCAGAGCAATCTGCTCATCAGGGCCCAGACTCCGCACACAGATCACAGTGCGGCGATGGATGCCATTCTTTCCACATGTTACTGAACAGTGCTGCCATGGACCTGTCCACCATCTTGTAAAAACAACATTACAACATAATAAGTCTACATGTAATGCTTTAAAGGAGTTAAATGCTCTGGTAAAAGTGCTTGTTGCATGAAACCTAATGCAGGACTCATAAAACCACATGTACCCCGAGTGATACTGCTACAACTTATAATATATACATGTCTAGGCCTAGGTACTCTTTCATGTCAATTTGAAGTACTGTGGGTACAGTGAAAACTTGAAAGTTCTGAGACCATTGAAACAATAGTGAGTCATCCAAATCTGAAGATGAGTGACATGACGATAAAGTTACATTGTTAAGTGATAACTCTATGTCAGGAAGTCTCAAGTCTCAACTTAGTTTACTGTTCTTGTATTTCAGAATCTCAAAGACTCAGACATAATATTAGTTGGTTGGTTGGTTTGTTGTTTTACGCCACACTTCAAGCTATATGATGGTGGTCTGTAAATAATCGAGTCTGGACTTAACAATCCAGTGATTGATATCACGAGCATTGATCCACGCAATTGGGATCGATGACATGCTTCAACCAAGTCAGCGAGCCTGACAACCCAATCCCGTTAGTCGCCTCTTATGACAAGCATGGTCGCCTTTTACAGCAAGCATGGGTTGCTGAAGACCTATTCTACCCTGGTACTTCACGGGTCAGATATAATATTAGAATTAGGGGCAAGGATAGCAGGGCAATTAGTTTCAGTAATCCTCACTGAACATTAAAAGATAAGACTTTCCCAAGGGAAATTCATATTGCAGAACCGATTAGCACTTAAATAGGGAAAAAAGAAAATATATGACATCAAAATATATAGTATGTACATAAGAAAATTACTAATATAACCACTAGTAAAAACATATAGCATATTGAACACTAGTTCATGCCAATTATTCGACTGTTTTTATTGTTTGCGAAGCAGCCCATACCAAAGTGTCTTTATAGCATTGTTTCACATGATTAAAGATATTGTCAGCCATTGTTCAAGACATCACAAATGACATCATTCCAACAATGGATTAACTGAGCTGATGTGATCATGAAACGGACATTGTTCGACATTGGGCCAGACTTGATCACACAGACTGCTGTGACATGGCTGGAAATTGCTTTCATCAGCATTACACAACAGTCTGTAACTCACTCCCTTACCTGGGGCGGTCGGGTAGCCTAGTGGTTAAAGCGTTCGCTCATCACGCCGAAGACCCGGGTTCGATTCCCGACATGGGTACAATGTGTGAAGCCCATTTCTGGTGTCCCCTGCCGTGATATTGCTGGAATATTGCTTAAAGCGGCGTAAACCCATACTCACTCACTCACTCACTCCCTTACCTGGCTGGACACAGGTGGCTGTTGCAGCTGCGGAGCTTATCATCTGGCTTGGAGGAGGCATTACAGTACATCTCATCAACAACACCCGCCTCCTTCTCCACACACACCACCTGCGACCTCTTGGTACCTGCGAACAGCACATGTCAGAGGACAAATCACTTCCAGTTACGGATTCGACCAGCCAGACCAAAATGCCACAATCAAAATATAAAGTAATATTACTTTAATGTTACTTATATGTCCCTAACAGTTGACTAGATAAACTTAGTAAAGTCGTACATTTTAAATTAAATTAAGTAAACAATTAATCAAAAGCATTGAATGAAGTATATTATAATGAAATTTTTTAAATAGTATTGACCAATGCAAAAAGCTTAATGGAAAATAAAATAAACTGCGTAGCGAAAAGTATGCACTCTTGTTTGATAATGGCTAAAAATGAAATAAACAAGAACTGGTTATTCAATGGAGATACGGGCATCATAGTTCTGTTTTTGACCTTAAGTGTGCAGTGTTTCAGTGACGGTCTCCAGACTATTAACGTCTTGATAAATTTGTATGTCAAATCCAGTTTTTAAATGTATACTTTCTTTTGCCTGGCAGTTGAGAAATAGGAGGCACACAAATGTATTTTATTTTTATTTTGACCTAACATAAAAAAATGTGGCCTCATGTGTCTACTGAATTCTCATTCAACCATCCTTCCATTTAATCAGATGTATATATATTCTTGTCATAGTTTCACAGAAATGTCTACTATGGAACATAGTCAACATAAATCATCTTAATTGCTTATTAATCTGGTTCCGCTGTCTCAAGATGATATATAATGCAATGTGATTGGTTCCTACCTCCACCACACGACACAGTGCAGTGCGACCAATCAGAGAACTCCCAGCGGAACTCCGGTGAGCGATTGTCTGTTGCGTTCTCCTTGGGCACCGTGTACTCATACACTACACCTGGGTTGGTTGTCTGCAGTAGGAGCTGGAGAGGAGACAGAAAACTGTTACCCATAACATGCCTGGATACAGCTTGGGGAAAGGAGGGGTGTATTTTGTGATTTGGCAATTCACATTCTATCAACTTTTTTTGTAAAATTATTTCACCAAATGAGTTAAAGTGTTGTTATACATCTAATTTTAGTACTCCTAATGACCTATAAACATAATATAGTTTCCAAATGCATGAGATGTTTAGTGTGTTTCAAAAAGAGGGAATGCATGTACGCTTTAACCGTATAAAGAAAGCACATGTTGCTGTTTTTATCTCCAATGACAGCGTCTGTGATAAAAGTACCATAACTATTTTTGGGGATAATAATCATGCATGCATGTTGATTGAAGTCATGACTTAATAATAAAACCATGACCATGCTGACAGTCAGGAATCCAAAATTTCAACTGACACGTTCTTTAGAGGCGGTTTCAAGAGAGACCAGACACAATACGAGAAGCATATCTCCCTTTCTGTATGTGCGAACCTACCATGATGTGCAGCGGTTCCTTGAGTGGCCCTGCTGCCTTGAAGTGTTCCTTGTTGCCGTGCCTTCGGTACTGGATGATGGTGCCGGCAGCCTCATAGTCCCCGCTCCACTGGATGAACCAGTGACCATTGAGGAAGTACTTCCCCTGCTGGTCCTTCAGAGCCAAGAAGTTGTTGGCAGCAGCTACTTCCTCTACTCGGATATTACGTGCGCCCACCGGGATCACCGTCGCTTCTACGTAGCCTGGAGTAGACATATCAAGACATTATATGGTTGTAAAGATACCCTTCCTTTCTATGTAGCCTGGAGTAGATATATCAAGACATTATATGGCTGTAAAGATACCCTTCCTTTCTATGTAGCCTGGAGTAAATTGATTTATCATGACATTATATGGCTGTAAAGATACCCCTCGGTTCTTTGTAGCCTGGAGTAAATTTATATATCATGACATTATATGTCTGTAAATATACCCTTCCTTTCTATGTAGCCTGGAGTAAATTTATATATCATGACATTATATGGCTGTAAAGATACCCTTCCTTTCTATGTAGCCTGGAGTAAATTTATAGATCATGACATTATATGGCTGTAAAGATACCCTTCATTTCTATGTAGCCTGGAGTAAATTTATATATCATGACATTATATGGCTGTAAAGATACACTTCCTTTCTACGTAGCCTGGGGTAAATGTATATATCATGACATTATATGGCTGTAAAGATACCCCACGCTTCTACGTAGCCTGAGGTAAATTTATATATCATGACATTCTATGGCTGTAAAGATACCCCTCACTTCTACGTAGCCTAGAGTACATTGAGATATCATGACATTACATGGCTGTAAAGATACCCTTCCCTTCTACGTAGCCTGGAGTAAATTGTGATAACAATTAATAAAAGCTGTGTTAGACTATTTGTACATTCTGACAGAAAGTAGCATTTTGCAAATGATGTGCATACCATTTTTCATATTTTTCTAAGAAATAGGTATTTTGTTATAGCTGAACTTGATATGCTGTAAACACCATAAACTGTAAACAAATAAGGTGTTTGTTCATCATGTGCAATACCTCAACTCCCCACATAGGTATCGATTTTTGCGTCAAATTAGTGATGCTTTATTACTTGTAGATTTGGTTATATGTAGAATCGGTTACACCTTAATGTTTTACAGATTAATCTTCATGTCATGATCAGCTGAAATGTTCCTCATTGTTCCTGTAAACTCACCGCACCAATAGTAGTAGTAATAAGAATGTTAGTCATGAAATTTCACAAGAAGTGTGGAACTATGAAGAAAAGTAATATTTACCTAATTTATCTGTTTCATTGAACTGTTTCTTGACAGTCTTGCAGGTAGACCCATCTCCATAGCAGACCCCACATCGGTCCTCCACAGCACTGGAGTCAATGATCCAGTCACAGCCAACGTGCTGAAGGGCAAACACACATATCATCAGGATGCTTTTGAACATTTGTTTTATTTGTACTTTTACTTCAAGACCTGGAAATTAAGCTGAAACCTGTAAGCCTATGACAATGTACATGAAACAACTGGTTCAGTACTTCTCAGGCAGTAACTTTAGGGTTGGTTGGTTGGTCGGTTGGTTTCTTGTTTAACGCCGCACTCAGCAATATTCCAGCTATATGAAGGCGGTCTGTAAATAATCGAGTCTGGACCAGACAATCCATATATACAAGCTTGTATATCCTTTGGAAAGATGATATTTCCAAAGGATATACAAGATTGGAAAGATGATATATACAAAAATATACAAGTTTGTATATATGACATATACAAAATATACAAATTTGTATATATGGTGTATCCAAATTTGTTTTCTTTGTATATATTGGTAAAGGGAGATAATTATTATGTATTTGTGTATAATTATTATATGTGTGCAAATTGAAGTGTTTTAAGTTGAGCACTGTGTTTCTTTGTATATGTTGGTAAAGGAGGATAATTGCTATGTATTGCTCTATAAATGTTTTGTATGTGCAAAATAGTATCAGCAAGTTACAAAAAACTGATTTAGTGGCGGGAAACATTACTGGAAGGTTTAATTAGTACTCCACACTGTTAGCGGGAGTACATACTGTCCTTGCAATGATATTGACGGGTGGGCGGTTGAGGCGTCTGGTACTTTTCCTGGCGCGGTGCTTGTTATGTGAGTAGACTTTATGGTCAAATGCACAGAGAGGATTAGCTGTCGGGGGTGATTGCTTTGGCGGTAACTTCTGTATTGAAAGTGTTTGAGCTTGGATTTGTTTTACGGGGAGGCCGCGATGTGTTTTGTAACATGCTCTCGTGCACATATGCCAACAGAGTGGATTGCACAGAGGATGAAAACTATTTTATCACTACTTAAAAGTGTTGAATTTGGTTTGTTCTGAGCTGTCGGTTTCATTGTAGATATACATTGTTATAATGTGAAATCTCGGCGGAAACGCGGAAAATCGCGTTTTGTAAAACGGTAGTCCTTGGAAACATCATCTACAAAATATTATCAAAGATTAGTTTTTAAAAATACTACGAAAATATTGTGTTTTCTTTGTATATATTGGTAAAGGGAGATAATTATTATGTATTTGTGTATAATTATTATATATGTGCAAATTGAAGTGTTTTAAGTTGAGCACTGTGTTTCTTTGTATATGTTGGTAAAGGAGGATAATTGCTATGTATTGCTCTATAAATGTTTTGTATGTGCAAAATAGTATCAGCAAGTTACAAAAAACTGATTTAGTGGCGGGAAACATTACTGGAAGGTTTAATTAGTACTCCACACTGTTAGCGGGAGTACATACTGTCCTTGCAATGATATTGACGGGTGGGCGGTTGAGGCGTCTGGTACTTTTCCTGGCGCGGTGCTTGTTATGTGAGTAGACTTTATGGTCAAATGCACAGAGAGGATTAGCTGTCGGGGGTGATTGCTTTGGCGGTAACTTCTGTATTGAAAGTGTTTGAGCTTGGATTTGTTTTACGGGGAGGCCGCGATGTGTTTTGTAACATGCTCTCGTGCACATATGCCAACAGAGTGGATTGCACAGAGGATGAAAACTATTTTATCACTACTTAAAAGTGTTGAATTTGGTTTGTTCTGAGCTGTCGGTTTCATTGTAGATATACATTGTTATAATGTGAAATCTCGGCGGAAACGCGGAAAATCGCGTTTTGTAAAACGGTAGTCCTTGGAAACATCATCTACAAAATATTATCAAAGATTAGTTTTTAAAAATACTACGAAAATATTGTGTTTTCTTTGTATATATTGGTAAAGGGAGATAATTATTATGTATTTGTGTATAATTATTATATATGTGCAAATTGAAGTGTTTTAAGTTGAGCACTGTGTTTCTTTGTTTATGTTGGTAAAGGAGGATAATTGCTATGTATTGCTCTATAAATGTTTTGTATGTGCAAAATAGTATCAGCAAGTTACAAAAAACTGATTTAGTGGCGGGAAACATTACTGGAAGGTTTAATTAGTACTCCACACTGTTAGCGGGAGTACATACTGTCCTTGCAATGATATTGACGGGTGGGCGGTTGAGGCGTCTGGTACTTTTCCTGGCGCGGTGCTTGTTATGTGAGTAGACTTTATGGTCAAATGCACAGAGAGGATTAGCTGTCGGGGGTGATTGCTTTGGCGGTAACTTCTGTATTGAAAGTGTTTGAGCTTGGATTTGTTTTACGGGGAGGCCGCGATGTGTTTTGTAACATGCTCTCGTGCACATATGCCAACAGAGTGGATTGCACAGAGGATGAAAACTATTTTATCACTACTTAAAAGTGTTGAATTTGGTTTGTTCTGAGCTGTCGGTTTCATTGTAGATATACATTGTTATAATGTGAAATCTCGGCGGAAACGCGGAAAATCGCGTTTTGTAAAACGGTGGTCCTTGGGAAAATTGTATTATGAGCAACCGGATGCGTAAATAACGTGTGTAATATATTCCCGTATTATATTTTATAATACTTGTTCTCTTAATATTGTTATCAATGAGAGAACGAAGATTACCTTGAAAAAACACAACAGCATGCATATGTTCTAGCAAAAGGAAACTTGATATATATTCATTTGGCTTAATTTCTACTTTGGAAAACTTAGTTGGCGCTCTAAAAGCTTGACGCTGTATAATTTGGCACGCGCATGATTGGGTGCAAACCATATGTACATCAATAATAATAATAATAATAATACATCATGATGGCAGTTTCAATGTAAAGATTAAGTATTTCTAAAGATATGGAAAATAAATCTTGATAACTGCTTTAATCTTTGATCTTTGGGAAAATAATAATGGAATTGGTTGAGTGACTAACGTATTCTACATTAAAAGTGACAGGAACGTGATTTACATAATTAAAATATAGAATAATATACAAATTATGAGAGAGGGTTTGTGATTTATTTGGGGATGAAGTCAGTATTTAACTTGCGCTTTCCGACATTATGCGTATTTCGCACACGGTTAAGAAAAAAAATGCAATTCATTTATTTATAAGAAGTACGAATGCATCAATCCTACATCACAGGACCATGTACATAATTTGTTGAATGTTATTTCGTGAATACACAAATTGCATAACACATTCCCTGAGGACAAACCCAAATTGGCCGTCCCTTTGTGACAGGTGTTAATTAGAGAATGTATTGCCACCACATTATGTCCTGGCACTTTTATGACATGTAATGAACCTAGTCAATCCCTGGGTCTGTAACAACAACATGGGTCTAATAAAATCAAAGTAACATAAATATTACGTAATTCGAATTTTAAAAAAAGACTGAAAAAATGTAACATGAATATAATTGCCCTTTTGAGGGTAATATAATTTTGGGAAAATATAAGTTTTCTTGTATTTATGGACGACTTCACACAAGCTGAAAAATTAAACATTTGTTTATATAGCTATATTTACATACATGGCATTAACATGTAATAATAATATTGATCATGTTTGTTAATTTGTACATTTCGTTGTTATTGGTATCCTGAGTATGTTGTAATAATGCATGTGTTTCTGATCTTATTTGACGTAGATTACATGAACTAGTAGAGTGACTTTCTTTCATCAGCGTGGAAGGATTACCCGCACATATACCCTTAATCCTTTGACAAACAGAAAGAAGTCATATAGATATCATATCTAACTGGTACTAAAAGGTCACTATCAATCTCCTCTGATAACAAACTTACATTTAATATCCCCAAGCTACAATACCAAGCATGCTCATGGAGTAATTATGAGAAACCCGAATGATATCCTGTGGTCACACCCGGTGATTGTTAAGACATTCAGACAATATGGCAGTCTGTATTCATTTCTTATATCCCAAAAGTCCCCACCAAGCTCCCTTTTATTAACATTGGGATGAGGGGAGATATACATATTGTATTAAATAATATATCAAAACAGAACAAAAAAGATAGAAGGGGTTTCCTAAGGGTTTCCTAAGAAAAGCTATTTAACTGTTTAATACTTAATACGTGTCTCAAAGTATGTATTAATTCTTACTACTAGTTATTATATATGTGCAAATCCACCTGAACGTCGGATGTACATGGCCGATTTCAAAATAGCTAAATTAGGCACTGTTCAAATTGTTTCCAATAAACCACTGATTAGAAACTCACTTAACCTTTAGAATAGAATCGTTTCTTAATATACTATAGTTGGGGCATGTGAAAGAATTAATGCAGTGTACCATTGTGACAGCCACAAGAGCATGCATGATGTGTTATCTGAGATGTGTTTTTTAAGCCGATGGAAGTTTAAAGTGACAAAATCTGGAATCATGGCTTAACTGAATATAACATTGTCCAAGTTTAATAATCCTTTTTCCGGTGACTATTCCAATTATTAATGGTATCAGGTAGGAATGACTTGGCATAGCATTCAGTTCTACAACGTATAGCCTGTGAATTGGTTAGATTTCTTTATATGTAATCACTAACAGCAAAGATGTTTTCCATCTTGTAAAAAGGTGTAATGGCTACGTTGGTCTCACTCTACATTTTCTCGTGGCTTGTACCTCTTATCGCCCCACAAATAGTCCGTAATCAGTGTGTGGGCGAGGTAATAATTTACGTCTCATCGGCATTATTTCAGCGTCCGTAATGAATTTATGTGTAGACATTCTAGGATTAATTCTTGTTCTTTGGTACAATTATCCAAAACATGGGAGCAAAATATTGGCAATATATATATGCTTGTTCATGACTTATGTAAAAGGGGTTATTTATCTGAGTGAGTGAGTATGGTTCACGGCGGTGGACACCAGAAAGGTATTTAAGACAATTAATCATAGGGCTTACCTCTTCAACTCGCCAATATCAGAATCTGACTGAAATATTAATACCAAAGTCCTTTCATTTTAAGATTAGGTTTTGCACTTGGGCACACTTTGACGTGATATTGAAC